GGGCCCGGGCTGGATTCGAACCCACCCCCTTGGGTGTATGTGGCTGGCACTTAGCCACTTGAGCCACAGGCTTCGAGCCTGTTTGCTCAATTTTAGATCATAGAGTTTTACGTAGAATTACCCTGCTATTTTTTGTTTAGTGTTTGTAAGATTTATAGTGATATCCTTCTTGTTTCCAATTTTATAAGTTGTGCCTTTTTTTTCCTTGGTCAGTCTATTTTCCTACACCTTTGCCAAGAAATAACATGTAAATAAGTCATTGAAGCCTTTCTTTGGGCTTTCCCAAACTCCTACTTTCGTCTATTCTTAACTATTATTTTGGAAACTTAGGATTTCTTGATAATGGGTGTTATGCTTGTCCTATATAAATATTTTCACAGAAGTATCTGTGTATGAATATCCATGCACATAACATATTACACATACTATTTTTTCAGTTTTTTTTTTTTTTTTAAAGAGTCAGAGCCTTACTTCATCACCTTTGGTAGAGTGAAGTGGTGTCACAGCTCACAGCAACCTCCAACTCCTAGGCTTAGGTGATTCTCATGCCTCAGCCTCCTGAGTACTATAAGGTGGGACTATAAGGCACCCACCACAACGCCTGGCTATTTTTTGTTGCAGTTTGCTTGGAGCTGGGTTCGAACCTGCCACCCTTGGTACATGGGGCTGGTGCCCTACCCATTGAGCCACAGGCGCCACCCCATTTTCTGAGTTTTTATGGTACACTGTTGTTGAGTATAGTCTGTCATTCAGTATAAATTTTTAAGATTTGTCACAAGTTCATTTAATAATATCATTATGATAGTTACATTATGTGATTATACTGTAGTTCATTTGTCCATTCTTCTATATAATGACATTGATGTTTTCTCTTAAAATCTTTGGTGTAGCTGGGCATGATGGCTTAGGCTTGTAGTCCTCTAGCAGGACTCTGGGAGACTGAAGCAGGAGGACCACTTGAGCTGAGGAGTTGGAGACCAGTTTGAGCAAGAGCCAGGCCCTGTCTCTACTAAAAATAGAAAAATCACCTGGCCCTCATGGCCGGTGCCTATAGTCCCAGCTGCTTAGGAGGTGGAGGTAGGATCACTTGAACCCAAGAGTTTAAGGTTGCTGTGTGTTAGGCTGAGGCCATGGCGCTCTACCCAGGGTGACTCTGTCTCAAAAAAAAAAAAAAAAAACTTTAATATTCCAAATAGGTTTGCATATGTTTCCTGGTGCACATTACTGTTCCTATAAGATAGTTGTATTCACATGTGAGTGTAGATGTTTTGGTTTTTATAATGATTGGTAGGCATCTCTAGCATTTTGAGGGTGAGGGTTAATTAAGTAGTCTACCTATGTCAGGGTGAATAAAATTCAATATATGCTGTTCAAGAGCAGATAGTTGAAAGTATAGGCATGTATGAAGGTATGCTGGCCATATGCTAACTAAAAAAATTCTGATGTAGTAATATTTATTTGCAGCCTCTGCAAAATAGTAGCAAGGATAAGCAGTGTGACTACATAATTTATAAGGACTAAGTCACTAGACTGACATAGCAACTATTAATTTGATGTACCTAAGAATGTATCCTCGGCTCGGCGCCTATAGCTCAACCGGCTAAGGCGCCAGCCACGTACACCTAAGGTGGCGGGTTCGAATCCCCAGCCCGGACCCGCCAAACAACAATGA